ATTTACAAATTAAATTTTGTTATCTTCGCAATCAATCCAAACATTTCCAAATCGTTAACCTTATTCATTACCGGTCGTTACCAAACACATTATAGGAACAAGTTTCTATTACAAGTTGTCAGTTCATTTATTCACGGCAAAATACCGTTGATCGGCAAGCCGATAATTACTATGCCTTTCGCTCCTTCTGCGCCACACTCCGTTTAGCCATGGACGCCGCGTCCGGGAGACAATTCCCCACGCCCACGCTGCGCACATGTTACCAGAGGTACCACGAGGAGGTAGGAGTGCGACTTGGGCAGACGAGACCGAGGTCCCCCTGCACCCGAGCAACCATGAAACTCTCAAGGATCCCCAGCACAACCGTTTAACTGCCGCATGCTAGCTATCCCTTAAGAGAGTCATAGTTACTCCCGCCTAGTGCTCTAATCGGCTGTTAATTATCGCAGCAATGTAATGTTTGCCTCCATTTAATTATGGATCTCATTAAATTACGCTAATTGATCGCTTGAACGTATAAACGAACGTGTTACGCATTTACACTGGACCCGTGGAAAGATCCGTAAAAAGAGAATCGCCTTCCGGCCTGATTTAGACGACGCTCGGTATGAAAGGTACGATTTCCTGTTTATCAGGCGTTTACCAATTATAATAATATTTCACAAACGATCCAACGAAATCTCGTAATACTTTCATTATCCTCTTACAATCTCTATTTTACAATAATTTGACGATGGTTTGAATTACACAGATCTCGTAAAATCAAACGGTTAAACTTGGTCGTTCGAAGTAGAACGAGATCAGCCCCAATGCCGTATAAAATAGCGTAATGCCCGAGGTACGTCGATCGGAATCAGGTGCAGCCAATTTATCCACCGTCCAAATTCTTGGCACGTAAATCCAGTTTGGAGGCATCAATACTGATGATACCGACCGGAGATCGAACGGAATAGCATGCTCCCAACGGTCAGGGCCGATCAGCCCTGCTACACAGACTTGTTTCTCGTTCGTTCCACGTACAATACCCAGTCGAACCTTGAAAAATTTCTTGTTGCACCGTTTGCAAACGTTTCAATAAAAGCTCAACAATATGCATATAGTAAGTGGCATTAATATTCGATAATGTATTATGGCAGATATTGTATTACTGTATATACAGATACAATTTTGGTGGGACAGATAGAGATTATATCTACAGATACTTGTCCTACCAAAGTTGTCCACGTGGAACATCATTGTTATTCCAAATAATAAAGGAAATTGTTACATGCGAAAGTTGTAAGATATAACGAATGAAGAATTCGCCACTCGATTTATGTAACAGCCGAAATTGTAACATATACTAGGCAGTACCGCTACCCACCGATGAATCAAGAGAAGATACAGAATCAATTTGAAGCTTTGTTACTCCAAGAAACAATTAGACCGTCCACTTCACCGTATAACTCCGCTTTATGGATTATATCGAAAATATCGGACGCCCGTTACAATGAACATTGGCGCATGATGATAAATTTTCGTGCATTGAACGAAAAAAACAAAGCGACAAGTATCCATTATCTCAAATTACCGAAACTCTGGACCAACTGAGAGGTGCAAAGTATTTCTCAATGTTTGATCTGACAAATGAATTTCAACGTTTAACATATCTGGTATTAATTCCGTGAAATATAAATTCAAAATTATTTGAATGATATAGTTTGTGATATAGTTAATGAGAAAGATTGTTGAATCATCTCAAAAATCGCGGATTTACGGCGTCATTGACGATGTCAAACCAGGTCCAAGGAAACTCCATGCGATAGAAAATTTTCTTACTCCAAAGTCAGAATCCAACAATCCAGAAACCAAGGACATGTAACAATTCTTAGGATTGACAAGTCACATATTATCGTCGTTATCATAGACTATTTTGTTAACGCAAAATCATTGATTCAACTGCTAAAAAAAGAAATCCGTTTGAAATGGACTGATGAACAATAGAAGCAGTTTGAAAATCTGTAATACTACATTATCCAGATCTCAACCATCCAATTTTTATCATTACCGACGCTTTAGATCATAGAAATATTGACTGCAGTATTGAGCCAAGATGAAATTGGTCCCGATTTACTGGTTCCATATGGTTCACGCAATTTATACCCAGTCGAGAAGAATTATTCAGCAACTGAGAAGGAATACTTGGCTATGATATATGCTACGCAATATTTCCGACCTTTTGTGTTAGTAAATTTGGACTCATTACCCACTATAGACCCCTAGTCCCATTTCAAGATTGGTTAAATGGAAAAGTAATGCTGCTAGAGTACAAATGCAATATCGTACTGAAACCTGGAAAACGAAACAAGAACGTAATCTTGCTGTCTCGTAATTCAGTGGTCTTCTTTTAGTTGCTCGCAAAGATAAGAAACTCGAAGCGCTCTTATCCAAAATAAACCGGTTATCGTGACTAAGGAATGGAAAGAAATCAAGGAAGGTTTACATAGAGCGTACCTCCTAGCCATTCGAATGAAGGACCAATTACAGCGCCACGTCTACCCATAGAAAGAGGAAAAGTTCACCCGAAAGCGAAAAGTTCACCCGCAAGCAACCAACACAACAACGAAATACGTTGGTGCACCGTTCCTCGAAACCACATGGAAGGCGATACAAACTCATACGATTCATTTACTCTAATAGCACACACAACTGAGGATCTTAGCTAGCAAATTACTGGGATTTATGATTGGTCCTTAAGACTATTGAGGGTACACAGCAAGGATGAGCGGACATCTGGTTCTCGTCTGGCACGCGGTGTATGACCTGGTCTAGGTAGAGAGTGGCCAGACGTAACAAACTTTTAAACACTATTGCCCAGAACTTTATAGGAAATCCTACATCTTAAAGATTATGTTAATACGCTCATGGTTTGTTTGAGTGGTGCGATAGAAAATATACAAAAGTGTGGTGGATTGGTACCAACAGGATGCCAATAGGTCGAGGCATCAACGCGGCGCAACACATCCCGGGCGATCCGCAGGCTACTATGACGACAACGAGCCTGTCTATCTCGCTAGCGGTCGAATATATGGGCGCACGATACAAATACCGCACCTAGCGAGACTCCCCCTACGTCTAAGGCAGGGACTACCGGGCATAGCCTTACTGACGAGTCCACCGGTAGTCCCGGGACGAAACGCAAACTCTCATTTCCCTAGCTTCGTTTACACCTCCGCCACACGTCCATCCCTGTCATCAGCCAAAAAAAGAACTACTATTACTTTTACTACAAATACTAAAAGCGAGCATAGTGACAAAGTAGTAACAAATATGACTTCCCATGCGCTGGATGATCCAGAGGATGGGGAGTCATTGATAGTTGCTCCCTTCTATAACAGTTTGCCGGGCCTCTTCGGCTCATAGCATCTTCTTCCTTCGGGCGCAATGCCCGTTGAAACTTACATCTAAGCTCGAGACTAATCGAGTTCTAAATCGCAAACCAATAAATAAAGTACAAAGGTGAAATAAACACACGAATCGCGGAAGCTGATACAAGTACACATGGACGAACAACGATCATATAGCGATCGCTGTCTGTTCGCACGTGCATGCTCGAGCAATATTAACGTTCGTTTCGAAAACCACTCGCGATCACGATCGCGAAATTCGAAAAATCGACGCGCAAAGCCAGAGACGATGATATGTTTCATTCGTGCCAGTTTTACCGACGATTATTCGAATGAAATTCCCTGAAACAGATTGGTCACTCGAAAACGCGTCTACCCGACCACAGGTCCACCTCCACGGTTCTCACACATAACGCCCGGGCGCAAGAACCTACACTACAGGGAACGTCCCGGGACGCCTCCGACACCCGAGCTTAACACACAACATGCACACTCTAAGGTACGTACCTTTTTCCTGAAATCGACTAGCGAAGGCTAGTGACCATTGCGTGAAACGTGATAAAACACGTTTGAGGAAATGATATAGTTAAAATAAATGTAAGTAAACTTGGAATTATAATGTAATTGACGGCAATATTAGAAGCGTGGTTACACTTAATCGTGTGGATGATATTATCAGAAATTTTGATTGTATCGAGATGTAAATTGAATCGATATATGTCTCGATATTTTTAATATTTGAAGTTGTAAAGAATGAGGAAAAGCGACGCAATTCCACGGTCTAACAACACACACACACAATGTGGAAAATACGTCGTGGACGATACACTAACACATAGTCAGTGACTGAGAAATTATTACATTAAATGTGATAATCGTGCCCAATGTCTTTCTCCCCTTCAGGTAGAACCTGGGCTAGTGAATCAGGTCCTGATAATGGGCACGAAAAAGATTAAACTTGAAAATCCTGATCTGAAAAGATGATTAATTTGTGTAATTTTTATTTAACGGACTAACGTTTTTCGATTTTATATTTTACTACTTCGATTCTGATTAACTCGACTTTATTCATTTAATAGTAACTAAGTAACTCTACTTTATTAATTTAATAAACCGGAACAAAATTTTAATATTGCAAAGAAGGTAGCGAAAAAGACTGAGACTCAATCAAATGGAATAACTGACTCTAAATATATTACTAAGAAAGAAATAATCTGAGATAATCTCTTTATTAAAGCACATAATCAAACATGCAGAAGCGGTGTTCAAAATTATTGCTTTGATTCAAAAATCTGCCTGTCGCGAAATGTCTTCTTGCACGTAAAATTTCACAAATTCTTATACGGAAAAAATGAATTTTAACTGATATTTTAAATTCTAGCAGAAGTGAAATAAACGAACACGACTTAATCCCTTAACCTACGATTTACGTTCGAGAATGCCCGTAATATGTGCGTTTGGTCCGATCATCGTACTACGGGCTATGCCCGCAATATTTACGTTTGGTTCGATCATCGTACTACGGGCTATGCCCGTATTTGTAGGTTAAGGGGTTAATATTGTCACGATCAAGTCATTGCTAAAGATCGAGTATATTTATGTTATACAGGAATATTCGTGTAGATATTTGTCATTTGCAAATATTCATACGGAATATTGATATGCATATTTATAAATAACACGAATATATTCTCAAGTGTATATGTTTAACTTAATTATTAAAAAACTAATTATTATAATCGCGCTGTGCAAGAAGACCTATCCTAAACTAATAAATGTGAAACTGTGCAAGAAGACCTTTATAATCGCGCTGTGCAAGAAGACCTATCCTAAACTAATAAATGTGAAAAAAGAGCGTTACTACTCAAGGGTATAAAAGATACCCGCGTTCAGTATGCTCTCAAAGAATTCTACGTAATACAACCAGTCACCCGTGCCGATTCGGACTTTTTATCATACGACATAATTGAGTGACCAGAAGAACAGAAATGCATGCGTCTTACCGTTCGAAGCGGAGAAACAGAGGACGTTACCATCAATACTGCACTATCCCAGCGAATGTCGTCAGGAAGATTAACATCAGTCAGGAACCGTTGAAAGGCCAATGGTAAAAATGGAAGTTGCGAAAAATCTGTTACAAAACAAAACACGATGAGTGATCGCTGACAATTTGAAAAGTTGGAGATAATGTAAAATGAAGGTTTATTAACTTTAGTAACTTTAGCAATAATAAAGATTGAAATTCTAATAAAATTTGATAAGTATAAAAACTGAAACTCTAATATGAATGTGTAAAATCTAAAATAATCTGTAGTATGTTATGCATTTGTTTTATAATTCAGTATTAAGACTTTAATTCTTATTTTATTTTAATGAAAAAATAACCTCAGAAAATGCTATCATCCTAAATTTTCAGTCAAATTGTATTTCTTCATTGATAGTGATCAAAGAAAAATATACAGAATAGACATAACTGAAAGTAAGTATGTAAAAATACTTACATACTTGGCTTTTGAGCCACTGTTAGAACACTCCTAAAGATGAAGAAGAAGTCGAAAAAGTGATATGTCTATAGAAGACATAAGGTATCATTAATATCGGTAATACATATTAACAAACTTGAAACTTTAGCAACAATAAAGACTAAACTCTAATAAATATGTAAATTGGAACTCTAATATAAAAGTTTGAGAACAAAACATTCAGTGATTTTTTATGCGTATCAGACAGCTTTATTGTACTTTAATGTTAAGACTTTAAGACTTTATTTCAATTAAAGATGGCATTTACAGTTTTCTAAATTATCAATCATTTTTATTGTATAATTAACAGTAATTCAAACGAAATATAATAAAGAGAACAAATTGAAATACAATGTGTAAAACTAGTTACATTCTTGAGCTCCTGCAGAATCTTTGTTCTCTTGAGAGATGCACTGACTCTAATACCGAAAGAGAATATTCAGAAGAATATGAAATAGGATCACATTACCGCGACCGTTAAAATTATAATCGGCGAACAAGAACACTAACGTCGCGTTCAAAATTATTTGATAAAATTTTATTACTTTCGCGTGTGATTATTGGATTAAATTATTGGAGTAATAAACGACCGACGCCGCCAATACGTTACAATACGTTGCAAACCTGACGCAACGCGATCCATGTTATCTGTATGAAATAAGACGACTAAATGACTCCTTGTACCTTAGTTTCGTCGAGTAACTTACAAAGTGACGGGGGAAGGGGGGACACATGAGCCGATGGCACAAGCAGCTACGCAGTTAACGATTCTACGTAGTTACAGATTAACGATCTAGACAAAGGAATGTATGCATCAACAAAAATATTCATTTTCTAAGCAGCACGTCCTTTCGAATTACCCAGCAGGAATCTTTCTCTACATCGATATTTACAAATATCGTACAGTAATCCGTAGCCCTACTGGCAACATCACAGACACATGCCTAACTTGTTACCTTACTTACCTTACTTTAATACCTGAATTTCGTTAAACAAAGCATGATTTAAACAACAGCATGAAAAAAATGAAGAAGTACTTAAAATTACTGTTCGGCAATGACCCAGTATGCAGATGAAGTCTTAAGCGCTTTTTCAGTCCGTATTCGCTTTTAATACTAATATAAAAATAATAAAAGAGAAACGTTATTTATTCCTAAGTGCAAAATGTAGTAAGAGAATAATTTTCTCACGGTTGAAAATTTAAAGTCTATTGATATTTTCTCTATATCATTCTTATTATCACGACGTAGTACCTGAAGTTTTGACCGACCCAATGATTTTTATTCTTAGAAATATCTTGAATACGAAGAATTAAGAAATGGGTAATGAAGGATATAATTAATGGAAATTAATTATGGCGGAGGAATCAACGAAGAAAAGTTATTTTGCTAATTATTATACGAATGAGTATTCAAAATGTCGCGCAACGACTACTAAACTATTTAATTAACACTAACCTCACCAGCCCTAGTCAAATGACTGGTTTAAAAATCTAATTTCAAATTGTACATTTATCGTTATTTCTTTTGTTCATCTAACTTTATGTGAATTTTTATATTCTCTGATTAATTGATTTCTCAACTTTTAAAACCAGTTATTTGACCGGGCCTGGTGAGATTAGTGTCAAAAGCTAGCCTGAAATTTTCTTCAATTTCTGATCTTCGGCTGATTTTCAGTATTTTGCCTCCGACTTTTCACCAGAAATTTGATGTGGAAAACTAAATGCAATGTAAGACCTGCTAACATTTAGGCCATCTTGCTTCTAATTGCAACAGACTGCCGCAGCGTTAAATTCAACGATAAATTACGATCCACATGCAAGTATTGACCCAGATTCCTGTACCGAAGAAAGCGAGGATAACACAAATCAACCTCGTGTCATGTAAAAATTTTGCTCATCCTGTTCACATCAAGATTGCTCTCAACGCATATTGTTAGTGTTAAAAAGGCGATGGCAAAAGAGAATTTGTAATATTAAACGAACAGCAGAACAAATAAATACGATTGGTTCGTAAAACAAGTGACTCAAAAATTACTTGCAGGTAAATTCCATCGAATAATAAACTGGGTAATTGTCCTAGACCCTGTGTTCTCTTATTTCATCGCGATATATCTGATGGCTAAATACGAGCCACAATCTTAACCCTGTCCTTGGAGAAACGGCTAAATACTACAATACAAAGCTATGTCCCGAAATCAGTGCGTCAAAGATCACCCAGAGTTCAACCTCTACACTTATAGGGGACATCTTCACGCTTGTACCGCAGCAACATAGCTCAACAGTAAACAAGAGGGCGACGATCCCCTAGACTTGTCCAGTAACTCGGCGGTAAGAACACAGCATCGCTCGCAGCATTCAAGATTTCCAAACATATCCTAACGTCACGTGTAGCAAATAGGAAGCTACATCTGTGTATTGATTATTAAACTATGTCCTGTTCCTTGACAATGTTTCAAATCAATCAAAAAATTTAAGAGAAAACAGTACTTGCCCTCCCTATAAATGAAATATCATAATGGAACTTTCGGGCAGCCGACTATATCAAACCAACTGACTCAGAATTCAAAGTAATTACCCGTGCTTCCAGGGTTTTTCCTGAAACGCGACTTGGCAAGTAGATAGCTGCCACTATAAGGCATTATCTAAAATAGACTTGAATCGCGAGAAAATTTCGGAAATCCCCAAAAAACATCTCCAAAGTAACAGCCCAACAATGGAACTTACATAGAGCAGCCTCTATTTCTGTCATCAAACAAGTGGTCCGTAATATGGCGACCTCTATTCGAGGTTGCGAGTGGAACTCGAGCATCGCGGCTGGAGACATATTGACCCGTACAACAACATGGCGTCTTGAGAACCAAACTTGGCAAACAGGCATTTTGTCAGGAACTTTCGCTTAGTAAATTCCTCCTATTCCAATTTATTCCATGCTATTAACCCTTGTGATTGGAATTGGCTCACTCTCCCAATCTGAAACTAACAGGGCGATAGGCCAATAAGAAAAAGAGAATAGTACTCTTAACAATGCAACTTATTATATGGCTCTCGATACACCGTAGTACGCGCTCAGCTCCATAGGTGTCACTCGGTGCTCGAGTACCTAACTGTCGTGACTAGCAATAATCCCCAGATGGCACGGCACGTTCCGTATACTCGTCTAAGACTACATATCGTAACTTGTACGTACAGCGTATTGGTGGCACCACCAATTCGTATATCGGCACGAGGCTAATAATGATTCTATAATTCTGCCCTGAGTAACGGGACCCCCATACCAAGATAGCGACGACCTGACAGACCCGTGCGCCTCTCTTCACGTTGACACTGTGGCGGATGAAAAGAGAGTTGTGCGTTTCGTCCCGGGACTACCGGTGGACTCGTAAAAATTGCATTGTTGCAGAAGACGTGTCTGTAAAAGAAAGACGCTTTTGGGACAACCACTAATATTAATTTAAAGATTGGAAATTCTAATTGCGCGAAATTTGTAATCTAAATTAAGCGAAGATCGTAAATTTCGTTCGATCATAGATTACATATTTTATATACAGGGTGGTTGGTAGCTGGTGGTGCAAGCGGAAGGGGGGTGATTCTACCACCAACCCGAAGTTGAAAATATAAAATAAAAATTTTTCGTTTGAGGTTTTGTTTTCGAGAAAATCGACTTTGAATTTTCGCTCGGTACGCGTGCAGTACGTTATAACGGATCTCATTGTAGATCGTTGTCTCGATAGCAAAATTAAAAAAAAAATAATTAAAAAAATTTTTTTTCTATATTTTCGACTTCTTCTTTCGCGTAGAATCATCCCCTTTCTGCTTGTACCACCAGTTACCAACCACCCTATTTGATAGTGAGGAAAGTAGTGATGACGAAGTCTACAACTATTGGTCGAAGTGCCCAAAATCACCCCAAATGTGTTTGGAATGTTTTAACAAATATCATGCGATATGGAATAATATAATATATTATCCAGAATATAAATTAATAAAAAGTATGGTACAATGTGCTTTTAACATTTTTATGTTGTATATACTACATATAATATCGTATATTTAATTAACTCGAACAAGAAGGGCGTCACCATACGTTGGTGACGGGGCCCCCATGCCGATATGTGCGACATGGCGACGAACGTGTTAAAAGGTTTGGCAAAATCTTGGCAATATCAGATTCAAAAAGTTTAACGGCGGAACTTACTGCAAGGTGACTATATTTCAGCAGGTCGCTATGTGATAATAGAGGAAGCCATCACCCCAATATGGCGTCAACTGCCTGATATTGTAAACGTCTCTGCAGGGAGGACTTGCTTATGTAAGTCTATGGGGGCTGACAAACCCACATTACCGCAGCCAGGGAGGACCGTCGGGACAAGCGTCCCGCTTACGTGAGTCCTCTATATACACCGCAAGGAAGGTCGCCGGGAGTGTAAGCGAGAGGCTCGGTTACACTCTCTCCACGTGGCCTTGAGTAGTAGCGCATCCACGATCCTGATGCCAAGGATGGGACCGTCGGGATAAGTTCCCGGGTACTTTGTACCTTGCGGCCTCCGCATGAGTCCCATCTGGAACTGCCGAGCACGGTTAGCAGGTCGCCGACCGCCAGTGACGTGGCCGTACATCCTCACGATAATCCCACCAATGACATAGGATGGTACCACGGGGGTCGAGTGTAAGCCCGGAGGGAGTAGCGACCCCTCTGCTCGACCAATTATGGGTTTGGACTCGTGGTGGCAGTGGTTGATGGCCAAGATGCTGGCAAGAGGG